TGCAACACCCTTGCAGTCTGCTGGCTCCATCTCATTCTCCACTCTTTCCAGCCACAAGTTTCTCAGAGGGACATGTTGGGGATAATCCTTATTTTTCCTGTCTGGCTTAGACACCAACACAGTGTGCATCTTGTGCTCCTGAAAGAGCAGCATGAGGGGTCTCAGCCTGCTCCACAGTCTCCAATTTAATACAGGTTTCAGTGAAATTCAAGCATTCTACTGCCAGCAGGATGAAGCCCTGGTTCAAACCCCTATGGAAATCAGTGAAAATATGTCTGATTTTAGGAGACCTTGGTCCAGGACGTGGGTAGGAGCAGTCTGGATTTTGCCCTTCGGTGTTCAAGCTGCTCCCTGCGAAACCAAGCAAACGACAGCACAGCGACAACTGACACGTGCAAAGGAGCTCGAACAAGACCCTTCCTAGGGAACCTTCCCTGTGGCAACACACTCCAATCTGTGTGTCTAAAAAAAATCCCCTTCTCCTGGCTGTGCAGAGCCCCAGTGAGTGGCAGATGTACCACAGAGTGCAGTCCCCGGGCTGCCGCCGCATTGCCCAGCAGCACGTGTGCTCCGGCTTCCCCCCTTCTCCTGCTTCCCTCCTCTCCTGCTTCCCTCCTCTCCCACGTTTTTTTGGGTGCACAGAAACCAAGCTACTCCCACCCAGCACCACAGAAAGCACATGCACCTCTCCCTTTGCAGGAGGGGGGTTTCAGCCGTTCTCATCCCGGGGGATGAGAGGGGGGATGAGCAGGGCTCTCCTGCTGCGAGGAGGGGCACTGGGCACCCCATTTCAGGGGCATCTCTACACTTTCATGCCCTTCTTCCCTGAGTGCCACAGCATCCCCTTTTCCAAGCCTCTCAGAGGAGATGAAAAGCCCGAGCAGAGGCCGGGGCTCGCAGCCCATGGGGAGGAGCAGCGGCTCCACCGGAGGAGGTGTCACCACACATAGCCGTGCACAGCGGCCAATGCAAACAGACAGGACGGTAAACAAGGGGGGGAAAAAAGCAAGGGAGAAAGCAAAAACCAGATTGCCTTAATGTTTTTTGATGTGCTGTCATTTTATTACCAGTATCAGGAGACATATGTAAATTCTACATGGTACCTATGAGCTTCCTTTGAAATTTCTGAGCTGAAAGTACACATTGTAGGAAAAAATATACTGGAGAGTTTTACAGGGAGAGAACACTGTGTGTTTTGTTTCTCTTCACATTAATTACCTACTATGGAAGAATTATCTCTGGAGATTATTGCTACAAGTAGAACAACCCAGCCCTTATATCTGGCATGTCTGGCAAGTTCCTTCCAATGATATCAGTGAAGAATTTTAGGAGAGCTCTTTGATGTAATTGAATTCATTATAAACAGCATGGCCATCAAATATAGGAAATAACATCCAGAAAGAGTGGGCCACAGATTTTGAGCCAGTGCTGCCTTCAGCCAGGGCACTACGAGGCAGTGATTTGGGGTGCCTAAATGTCTAGCAGCTAAGACTGACTGTGAATCTTTTTCTAATTATTGATTCTAAAAACTGACCCCAAAGCCAAAGTGCTGTTGCTTTGTACCAGCTGCGTGGGGGTGCAGGCAGGACAGGAGAAGGGGTTCTCACCTCTCAACAGGCTTTGACCACAGACCTTACAGCCACGTACGTCACTTGGATGTGCCAGTCCTTGCGAGACGCTGCCGGAATAGCAATGCCCCCGCCTGAATGGGGTTCAGATCCCGTCAGAAAATGCCTCCTCTGTGAGGGACACATGCAGTGACGCTGCCACTTCGGGGAGGGATGGACTTCTCTCACTGTTGCAGATCGATACAGGCAGGATCTTCCCAGGCAGGGCCTGTCTTTTTGGGTTTGTGTCCACACTATCCTCAGGAGGGCTGGGCCGTAGCGGGGGCTCCGGGACTGGACAGAGCACAGGGAGCAAACACCAGCCCTGCCCCCCCCCGCGTCAGTGGGAGCTGTGCCACCAGTTACCAGGGGAATCGTCAGGGAGCGTTCACTGAGTCGGGAATGCTGTGGCCATCCACAGTAAAATGAGAAGGCATCAGCTCTAACATCTGGCCATTCCTCCTCGGGAAACGGGCGCCGCTCTCTGTGCGTGTCAGCCAGGGATGGCACCCGGGAGAGGCCGCGGCGCTCACGGCACCGTGGCAGAGGAGACGTCCAGATGGTGTTTTCTCAGCACTCAGCCCTTGGGTGCCTGTGTCCTCCCAGTCTGCTCTGGGGTTTCCATGCCCCTGTGACAGCAAACTCTGACCCCCACTCACCTTGGGCATCCCCACACCCTGGCACCTCTCGCCTTGCCAGGACTCCTCTCCGTGCATTCACCTTTCCACAGTTCCCAGCTTTTGGGTGATCCTGTTTTCCACAGCACCTTATCTCCCCTTCTTCAAAAAGAAAAATCCTCTCTCTACAACAATAATATAACTCGGTTCCTCACTCTGCCTTTCAGGAACCCCTGCCAGCTTCTACCCCTTTGGTTTTTACAATACAGACATCCCTCTTCTCATGCTTGTTTATTTTTTCTCAGCCCTTTTGTTCCCTCCCTGCCGCTTCCCTGTCGATTGCTGCTCAGTCTGGTTGTGACCTGACTTTGAAAGCTGGCTTGAAGTGGTGTTCTAATATTTTTGTGGGGGATTTTATAGCCCATGCTGGTGAATGGACTGAAGCCTACAGAATTTTAAATGACTCTACTTTGCTGTCGGAAAACTAAACACGAACATCTAAGACACACTTGTTAGAATTTCTTCCTTAGAAATCTGAAAGGTTGCGATGTCCTTAATATCCAACAAAAGGAAAAGGGGTTATTAGCTGTGCTTGCTGGCAACATGGATGCTGCTGGCTTCAAAAGCTGTGATTTGCTCACCTTGCACATGTAGCAAGGAACAGATCTGCCTGCTCCAGCCGTCCCAAACCTCGTAGGGTTCATAGCCAGCTCATGAATTTTTCACAGCTGCTCCCTGCATGATGCTGGGTCTTACTGTCACTTACCTCATGCTTTGCCAGAAATATTCTGCACATGATGGCATCAGATAATGTTGATAAGGCTGGACTTCCTAGGAGAAAGCTCAAAAAATTGAAGCTACTCAGTTGAGAGTCTGGCCACCTACCCAAGGTCTTGGCTCCCAAAAACATGCTCAGAAATGCAGAATCAGTAATAATTCCAGAAAAAGAAAATTAGATATTAGGGAAAATTTCTTCACTGAAAGGATTACGAAGCATTGGAACAGCTGCCCAGGGAAGTGGTGGAGTCACCATCCCTGGAAGTGTTCAAAAAATGTGTGGATGTGGCACCTGAGGACGTGGACACTGTGGAGGTCTGGGTTGACAGTTGGACTTGATGACCTTAAAGGCCTTTTCAAACCTGAACAGTTCTGTGATTCTATATCATTCTTCTTAATGATTCTCTGAAAAGCCAGGGACTTTGAGACTCTAATCTCCACACTTGCACCCGAGGAGGCGCCTGAAATGATTACTGTCTGTCTTGCTTTTCTACCCGTCTCCCTCCAGGCATCGTCCGCGCCTCCAGCGTGTTCCCCATCCTAAGCACAATTTTGCTGTTGCTGGGAGGACTCTGTGTCGGAGCAGGAAGGATTTACAACAGCAAAAACAACATTATTCTCAGCGCTGGGATTCTCTTTGTTGCAGCAGGTATGTTCTCCTTAAATTGAGTCCTTAAGAAGTGCTGCCCTTTGCAACTGAAAAAGCCTGGAAAAGCTCGTTGGCAATTCTTTCCCTGGCACCCCTTTCCTGGATTGAGGGCATTAACAACATCACACCAGGCAAATTTGTTCAGACACAATTATCTTCTTGAAGCCCTGAAATAAGTATATTCTAGAAAAACCTTTAGTTTTCCTGAAAGAGGAAGTGAAAATCAGTAACAAGCATGTTTTACACTATTTAAAATGTATTAAACATTAGATGAATCAGGCACCTCTTCCACCTAAAGCCTTTTCCTTATTTTTAATATGGTGGCAGAAAACATTCACCTCTGATAGGTGAGCCTGTTTTTCACCCTAGAAACATCTGAGAGAGTCAGCCCCATTGTTAATAGCTTTCCCTGAAGCCTGGATTAAACATGCTGCATTTAGATGAAAATTCAGCAAGGTGGAAGAGAACTTATCTTGATCAAGGTGAACAGCCATAGCCCTGAGCTCAAAATGTATTTTTATCATTATTCTGAATGTTAGAATCCCACTAACAATATTAGTGAGCTCCCATATGCTGCTTCTTTCCCACTGTGGAAATGAAGAGGTGGGGAAAAAATCCGGCTGAATATTTTGGCATCCATGCAAATGTACCAGACGTGGATCCATTGTTTGTTTTTCAAGAATAAATGGAACCTTGAGACAAATTAAAGAGTCAAGAAGTGTAATAAATTTCCTGGTTGCAATCTTTGAACCATTCAGGTCCAGAAAGTAACATATCTTGAATTTCAGCTTCCCAGCCACATAACCACTGATTTATGTTTTTCTTTCTCTAGGTCTAAGTAATATCATAGGGATCATTGTCTACATATCAAGCAATGCAGGTGACCCAAGTGACAAGCGAGATGAGGACAAAAAGAACCATTACAACTATGGTTGGTCTTTTTATTTTGGAGCCTTGTCTTTTATTGTGGCCGAAACCATAGGTGTTCTGGCTGTGAACATTTATATCGAGAAGAACAAAGAGCTGAGGTTTAAGACCAAGAGGGAATTCCTTAAGACTTCCTCCAGTTCTCCTTATGCCAGGATGCCAAGCTACAGGTACAGGAGGAGGAGGTCCAGATCCAGCTCTCGATCTACGGAGCCTTCTCCGTCCAGAGACATTTCCCCAGTTGGCATGAAGATAGCGAGCGCCATCCCCATGAACGAGATTTCCATGTACACCCTCTCCAGAGAGCCTTTGAAGGTCACGACGGCTGCCAGCTACAACGCAGACCAGGAAGCCAGCTTTCTGCAGGTTCACAACTTCCTTCAGAAGGAATTTAAGGAAGGACTCCACGTCAACATGGTCAACAGGAGGACGACGCCTGTTTGAAGCACCTTCCTTCCTTGCGCTTTTTTTTGAAGAAATATCAGAACAGAAGGGATCTGTCATGAGAGAAGGAGCGATGTTAAAATACCCTCTCACCTCTTTAATTGTGGCATGTGTTGAGGTAGCAAGTGGAGATCCTCTGGACCAGCATAAAGATGTTACACGCTCGTAGCTTTTTTTGAAGCTATTTGGAGTTTGTTTCTTTCCGTTCTTGGTGTCACGAGATGAAGGCAGTCCATGTTCCTGCACTTTTGTAGTGTGTACACAGTCTTGGAGAAACTGCAAAGGACTGGCCACCAGTGTGTTTTAAAGGATTACAGAAAAATTGTTGTACAACTTTTTTTTTTTTTTCTAATATTGAGATCCCTTAATACAAACTTGCAAATATAATTTATAATCAAGCCCAAGGATGAATATGAACTACTCATCAAGTGAGCCACTTTCCTTTGACACAGCGTAAGCTTTGCCTCTTTCAAAAAAAACAAAAAAACAAAAAAACAAAAACAGGAAAAAAAAAAAGAAAATATTTTTGAAGGCAACACTTTCTAAAACTGACCTGTGCCACTGAAACCGTAGAGCACCCACGTACTGAGCAGCGTGGACTCCCTGATGGGGTGGTGAGGGAGTCCCCCGTTTCTGGGTGTGAGGCATCCCTTGGGGCGACGCAGGTCGAGGAGAAGAGGGTTGGGTGCGTCTTGAGACACCTGGACAAGGGAAAAGATTAAAGCAGGTGGGACTTGAGCATATTTGCCAATATCATTTCTTGCCTAACGTTCAGAAAACTTGAATTCCTCATCTCGACGAGCCCTAGTGCCTGATCCGGCGAGGTGCTGAGTGCTGCCTGTCAGGAGCCCCCAGAGACACTCCCAGCGAGGGCGAGGAGCAGAGCTGAGCCGGGGTGGCCGGTTCCCTGCGACTGCATTCCTGATTTCCTTACTGCTTTCACAAGTGCAACACTAACGCTACTGGGAACTGAGATCTCTAAGCAACGTCGGGAAAAAAAAACGAGGAGCTAAACTAGCAAACCTTCCTGCAGCGACGGGAGCGGAGCGTCGACAGAGCAGATGGCAACTTTGTATTTTTTAAAAAAAAAAACCAGAACAAAAAAAAAAATAGTCACCGTTTATGAGATATTTATTAAACTCTTTTTATTATGAATAAGTGCCGCATGGTGCAAGGTATAGTTGCTTTTAAATGGAAATGGTGGTTCGACCTGATTTAATTTATTTTGTAATGATGCATCTACTTACGTGCAGAGAGCCCACTGCAAACTCTATGCATCACGTAAGGAGGGAACTAATTTGTACCCTTTGCTTCTGTATGTTTCTAAAAGAGTCTGAAATATTTTTTTTTCTTCTTCTTCTTCTTATAAATTCCTGCTTTCATTTTTTACACTTAGGCTTGGATCTCAAAGCTCGAGGGCCTGACTCAAAGGTAATTTAATTTAATAGTACTCATGCTGATTTTAGTGACCACTCGACCAAGCCATATGAGAATGAGGTGCCCGATTCCCCTCAGATGAATTAGATGCAGTGAGAGAGGAGCATCTAATTCCCGGAGATTCCGTTGAATATGCCCACCATCTTTACCCAGAAGACTAGAGAAGTGGTGACAAGGGAAAAAAAAAAAATCATGATTTGGAAAGCTTGGCTCACTGATGGTGGGAGATCTCAGCCAAACTGTTAAAGCCTCTTTAGTCTTAATTTATCCCGCGATGGCCGTGACTCGGTGGTGGTTTGGATTCAAGGCTTTCAGCTAGTGGAACCAAGTCCTCCAGGGAAATCCCGGAGAAGCTGCCTTAACATCCCAAAAAGCAAGTTAAACCCCCTCTCCCCCCCCCAGATAAACCCTGCTTAAGCCTCTCTCCTTGCAGGAACCAAGACACAATTCTCAATTCTAAGCGAAAGTCTTCCCCTGGTCGCTGTTGAGCTCTGCTGGGCCCTCAGCCTGGCAGAGCCACGTCGTTATTTTCGCAGAGGTGGGTTGGAGCCTTCATCCCTGCTCATTAAGAGTTTCCATTCAGGTTAAAACTCTGCTGGGATCCTTTTATCGAACCTCTGAACTCTGAGAGCTAAAGCGAATGGAGCGATGGGAACAATTTAAAAGTAGAAAATGTTGTGCTACTTTCTGTATCAACACACTATGGAGAAAGATGTTACACAAGCTTTTTAAAAAAAAAAAATTCAAACAGAGGCAGACAAGAAAACTTTTTTACCTACTTTTCGGCTAGGACAACATAAAAGAGTTCTAAAATTATTAAAGTTCTTGATGAAAGGTTTTTTTTACAAGAATCTTTATGCTTTCAGACAATAAATTATTTCCTACTTTTTGAGACTTCGTAATATTAAAATACTTTGATTAGCTATGATAGAAGTAGAAGTTTGCAATGAAAAAAAACCAACCTTCTGTCTCATTAGTGTGTCATACTAAGTGCTAATTAATTTACATCTAATTATAGTCGATGTATTTTTCAAGTGCAATTTCCCAGAACTATTTGTTTCCCACTGTGTTAATAAACTAATAGTTAGAACTAAGTCCTCATCCGTGTTTACTGTAATTAAGAATAAAACCATTCCCTTTAAAACCAGGAGTTAGATATAGGCTGTTTCTCTAAACTCATGTACCTTGAACTGGAAGTTGACAGTGTGAGGTTTGCTCCGCGCGTTGGTTTTGTTCTTTTAATCGTCATTCTCCAGTGAATGTGCTTCAAACCATCTGATTCCAGCCAAAGTCCAAGGTTTTCCTTCAGCCCAGGTCAGACCTGCAGAGGCACGTGAAGTATTTTTACACCACGTTGGCAAAAAAAAAAAAAAATTCTTGCTGAGGGTTTTTGGGGGTGTTGCTCTTTGGCAGAGCCTCCTCCCCCAGGGCAGGGCTGCTCTCAGCAGCTCCCCGAGTGTGATGGCCTGTGTCGGTCCGAGCCGGAGCATCTGCTCCTTCTCCAGCAGGCACCCTGGAAAAATGGAGCTGGAGCGGGGATCATGGGATGCTCATGGGATACGGGGTCTGAACAGGGAACAAAGGCACAGGAGCTTTTGTCCTGTGGGAGGACAGGGGCTACCACTGAAAACTCACGCAGTTGCAGTGCAGTAAATTGTTCAACCAAAGCAAAAAAAAAAAACTTTTCACTTTGCAATCCCAGTAAAAAAAAAACAAAATCCTCAAATAATCAGTCCTTTCCTGTGGAAAACTTTGATTCTGACAAAACTGAAAAATTTGCAGCATTCCTGCCCAGGAACAGTCTCGCTCCATGGCTGATCTATCTGAACAGTTAGATTGTGCTCAGGCTTTGAAACCACTCAGTGATAGTTTAAAAAAAACCATCTGTTCTTCCACATCTCTCTGGTTTCCCTGGACAGCATCAGAAAAATGAGCCCCATTTCTCAGCAAGGCCTGTAGATATCACAGAACCATATCATTAACGATAATCAGTTTTCTGGTATATAACATACTGTAACAGCAGAACCAAAAAAAAAAAAAATGCTATTGGATCAGATTTGATTTTCCAGGAAACAAAGTTTCAGGTGTATCATCAGCTCTCTCTCTTCCTCGTTTCTCACCCACAATAGGAGTAAAAAGAGAAATCACTTCAGCTGCCCAGACATCTAACAATAAACTATTTTTCTATTTCCTTTTCTCTCTGTATGGATCACATATCCACAAGGGCTAATATATCACGTCCCTTGAGGCTACATTTCTGTCTGCAGTTCTAAAGTGTTATTTCCACTGTGCTTCAGTTCTACTGGTATAATCACAACCATGTATAATGTACTTAATCCTTACTTTTTAAATAAACCATTTTAAATGTATCTGGTTTTGTGTGGAGAAAGGTATATAGATTTTTAATTTCCAGATTCTCTGAGCTGGGATTTCTGTGTTTATGTTTTCACGTTTCTCCCTGTTTGATTGCAGCTGCTCATGTTACTGGAAGCCAATATATGGGAGGAGATAGAACTATTCTTGTGGTCCCACAGACCACAAAATCTCCAAGATAAGCTATCCTCACAATATTTCCAGTTAGTTGGGTTGGGAACTAAGAAAGACCTTCTGGTTTCCAGCTTCAGTGCCCATTTTGAGCCTGGTGTGGTGGTCAGAAGCCACTGCAAACCACCATGGAGAAAAATAACCCAGTGTCTTCTGAGGTGCTCACCCCGAGCCTGTGCTTTCCTCCAGCTTTTGAGGTTTCATATGAACTCACCCCCGAGCATCCTCCTCTCCCCTGACCTTGCCCATTTTGCCTGAAGGAAGCCCAACCCCATATACTGAAGCTCCCACAGCCTTGCTCTGATCACCACCTCAAAATCCTGGTGGGACGAGCGGTGCCGAACACGGGGCAGCAGTTCAGCAGCCTCTCCCTGCTCCCAGACATCCCGAGCCATCCCTGTATATACAGGCAATATTTCTTCTTCAAATCCTTCTTTTAACTTCACCTCCCAGCTCCTCAGCCTCCAGACTTCTCTAAAGATGAAGACTGCCCGTGTGTCTCCATCCGCCTCTCCCGGCCGTGTGATGAATTGGCACGTCTGGAGGGAGGCAGGGGATTCATCTTTTCAAATGCCTCTGACACACGGCAGAGAAGCCCTTTAAAGCTGATTCCCCTGGACTGAAACAAATAAAGGCTTTTCCCACATTGCTGAGCAAGTCCATGGGTAAGTGGCGACCCCAGGAGCTGAGGCTGCCCTGCTGTGAACGGGGCTGTATCAAAAAGTGGTGTTTGGGGTGGGGGGAAGTAAAGACAGAGTCCTTAAAGCTTTGGAAAAAGAGTCCAGCAAGGAGGATGTGGCATTACCTTGGAATGAGAAAAGTAACAGACATGGGCGGTGCTGAAAATAAAAGGGAATGGAGAGGCTCTGCACCTGTCTGCAACCGGGCTCAGCTTACAGCCTCACTGCCGCCCGTCCCCAGAGCCAGGGGATCGCTTCCCAGAACGGCACACCCGGCACGGAGGCAGTATTTTGGGAGAAGGGAGCTTGGATCAGTCACACGGGTTGACCAGCCCTGCCTGTGCCCCGTAGGGAAGAGACTGGGCTACGTAAAGCAGGGTGGGGGGTCTGTTAAAAAATAAAATACCCAACCAAAACACACCCTCACACGTTTTGCACTTGCCTTCAGAGCTGGCAGGATTTCAGCCCCAGAATCAGGGAGCTTTTGGAGGGTGCTGTTGGTGGTGTTCCCAGGTGTTGGCCATGCAGAGCCCACCACGATCCCGGCGGTCTCACCCCACTGGGGCAATGCAGGCTGAGGAGCCCAGATATTTTCCTGTTGGAAAAAAGCTGTTTGCTGAACTCACATTTGAGCTGGGAGCAGCCCAGCTGCCAGCTCCCCCTCTCTGGGTTATTCTCACCTGGGAAGGGTCTTCTGCAGAACATCATTCTGCCAGCAGGGAACCACAGAACGGGGTCAGTCTGGTTGTGGTAAATACTGAGGCTGGTCTGGAAGAAATACAGAAGACTGCAAGTGCTGGGGAGCAGAGCCAAGCCACCACCTCTGCCAGGGAAAACAGAACACATAGTTGGGCTTCAGGCACCTCCTTTGGCATTTTCTCCAGTAGAGAAACAGAATCGTGTCCCTCACTCGCCACTGCTAAAGTGCAACTAATTACAGCCCTTCTGCTTCCCAGCAGGTCCTCATTAATAGTCTGTTTATATTTCATGTGATATTGATTTTTAAATGTGAATACTTGCCACCTGACACAGGGAGACTGTGTCCTTTTCTCCAGAAATCCTTTTGCTTCTGTGTTTGTCAAGTGCCCACCTGCCCCATGGAGCCCCCGAAGCCCCAGGGAAGGCAACTTCACCTTCACACTAGGACAGAAGTGCCCAGGTTGGGGACAGAAGCTCACCCCAAGGGCAGAGGAATCTTCTGGCTCTCACCAAGGTGCTGATCACCAAATACCTGCCAGAAGCCCCCAAAAATACACAGAGCCTGTGCTGGGAGGAGGCAGCAGCAGCATCCTCACAATGGGGCTGCATCAGCTCATGTAGCTAACCCACAGAGCCCCTGGGGAGCAATAACCCACAAAACACTTTTTTTTCCCATGGATTGTCAGCTCTAGGTCATTTTTTGAGGGATGGGGACAACGTCTGACCTCAACTGCAGCAGTGTGAGCTTTCAGTCCCCAGGGAAGCCACTGCTCCTCATGTTGGGGCTCATCAAAGCTCATTCACACTCCCAGCTCCACTCAGCAGGAGGGAAGGATGAATTTTTCCCTTCTGCTTTCACTTTAGTTGTTTCCTGGAAATTAGGAAACTCAAAACAAAACCAAACCTGTAGAACTTATCCAGATTGAAAGACCTGAACAACAACAAAAAGCATGATTTTTGCCAACACTGGAAGAGACACAAAGACCAACACCAGCAAAGAAATTAATGAGTTCCCACCCCTGCAGTCCTTGTAGGTTGTAATTAGTCTAAAGCAGGATCATTAGCACTTGCTTCCTCAGCAACCAGAACCTCACTTTGTGCCCACATTTGCAAACACACATCCACTTCCCTCTGTTCCACCTGTGGAGTTTGGAGCATCAAGGAAGCGAAGTGGGGATGCAGCTCCCGAGACCGACTGATGTCTAGTGAAATTTAACAAGAGCCTTCTTCAAAGGAAAAGGCATCACATCTTTAATGCATTCCTTTGCTGGTTTAAAGCCTGCTCCCTTTAGGCTTTTCTGTTTCATGGGAACTCTTGGTTCTGGTTTAAATGTAATCCTCTCATATCTCTGCCAGCCCCAACATGGATGTGCCTGTGGTCTCTGGTCCCTGCCTTGCTCCATGTCCCCACTGTCCTCCTTGGTCCCCGTCCCCTTCCTCTCCAGTTTTGCACCACATATCCCCCTGGAGGATGTATGTAACCATACATCCTTCCCCTGATTCCCACATTCCCATCAGGAATGGGTCAACAGATGCCATCCCGGGTTCAGACATGTCCCTTGCTCCCCAGGGGTGTCTGAGCCAGTCCTGTCACTGTCACACATCAAGCAGAGTAACATTAGCCCCTTTAAGCCATATTTCAATTACAGTTATTTTGGATCAACAGTTTTTGGCTTACTGTTTATTTTGTCTCTTTTCCCACGCTCTCCTCACACCTCAACTCCTTGCTCCACATTGTCCTCATCAATTTGAGCTGACACCTCTGCACCTTTATTTTGACATCAAACTGGGGTGTTAATAAAGCAGGACTGGAGTAGCTCTGACATTATCTTGACACAGTGATATTTGCAGCTTTCCACTGGCATTTTTTTACCCATTCTTTAACATTCAGGTACTGTCACCCTCCTCAGTTTGACATCACAATTGTAATGTCACCTCCACAGTGGCCTCTGCATTGACATTATCATCAAATTAGCTTTACAATCAGTTGGAGTATCAAAGGGAAGGAGAGAAGCTAGTCACAGGAATCTGGGCTCAGGGAAGTCACTTCTGGAAGAAGGAAACGGCGTGTTGGGTGGCTGCTGGAGTTACAGTAGGCATCGAGAGGAAGCTGGCTGGTGAGAAAACAAAGAGTGCTCAAGGTTTTGCATTAGAAAAAATAGGAAAGAAAAAAAGACATCACCCCCTCCCAAAAAAAACACACACAAAAAAAAAAAGGGCAAAAAAAGCCCAAGGAAAGACCACAAAAAAACGTCCTCAGCTACTCAGAATAGTTCAGGTTAATTAAAAATATTATTACAAAAAATAAACCAGAAATAACTATAATAAAAATCAATACTAAAATAAACAAGTTGCCTTATTTTGCCATTTTCTGCCGCAGTTCTGGGCTCTGGAGGGACATCCAGTTCTGAGCTCCGTGCAGGGGCCACCGCGAGCCGCAGGCGTGGGCGTGCAGCGCGAGGGCTCTGGGGCTATTAAACTGTTTAGAATCAGCCTGAGCTCAGGCCCGGCACTATTATAAACACAGATATTTTTATAACCTCGCTGAAAAGTTAATGGTCCCATTAATGCCTATTTCTGGGCATGCTGCAAGTCAAGACATCGCAGCCCCTGAGCGGCAGCCGCGGCCGCTGCGCCGAGTGCCCGGCCGTGGGAATCCAAAACAATCCGGGCGGGACGGGGCCGAAAGCTGAGCTGTGAGTGAGCAGCCTCCTGGGCACCGGCTGACACAGCCCAGCAGCTGCCTGCTCCCGCTCTCCCCGGGGCTGACATTTCCAAACGCACTCAGATGCGCCAGGATTTCGGGAGACCTCACGACCCACCCGCCGCGCTCCGCCGGGAGCGCCGCTCCGGAGCGGGATGGACGACAGCAAACCCCTGAAGGTGCGGCTGACGTTCTCCGTGATCCTGGTGGGCATCTCGCTGCTCTTCGCAGCTGTGGTGACGGACCACTGGGCCGTGCTCAGCCCCAAGGTGGAGGAGTTCAACGCCACCTGCGAGGCCGCTCATTTCGGGCTATGGCGGCTCTGCACAAAGCGGATTTACATGCAGGAGCAAGGCCCCAAGGAGAAGGGCTGCGGGCCCATCAGCCTGCCAGGAGGTACGTGACCACCCACCTGTGCATGGGAGAAAGCACCAGGCACTCAGGCCAGGCTTTGCTTAGGGCGTGGCAGAAGGAAAACAGGCTCCGTGTCCCATGGCACTTAGTTTGGGATGGGGCTCCACCCTTAGCTCGGGATGGGGCTGCACGGGGCTGTTTTGGTGCTGCTCTGCAAACAGCCCATTGCCATCCCTCCTGCTGTGAGTGTGTGCTGGCTTGCCTTGCACGTCTGTTTGTGACCATATTTGAGTCTCCTGACAGCGGCAGGGAGAAGGGGAGGAGGATCGGGCACGGTGGAAATCACAAAGGGAAATTGGGATGGAGGGAATTTGGTTGAACCCCAGCCAAGGGCCCTGCAGCACCCAGGCATGCTGACAGCAGTGGGCAAGAGAGAGGATTTATGGGCCCACCAAACACAGCTGGATCTGTAGGATTTCCAGATCCACACAATCATGGAGGAACTGCCCGTTCACGGCGGGCATTGAGTTATCTCTGAGCTATTCCAACAACAGCCATTCCTCAGGGCAGGGAGGAACAGGGACCTGCAGCGTGGTTTGCCAACCTCCAGAAAAAAAAAAGTCATCAACTGAGTTTGAATCAATTTCTCAAGGACTTATGGAGCCTCCTCACCTCTTGCTGGAGGCACCTGCTCCCACACACATCTCCACCACGGGCACCTCCAGCCCAATTGATGGGGAGGGCAGCGGGCACGGCGGCTTTCCGGGAAGGCTGTTCCATTCCCATGGTTAAAGGAGCTCATTATGTTTTTGCTGATTGCCAAGTCAGCAACATTCGCGCCGTTTGCACTAATACCCTCCCTCCGTGACTGAGCCACGCTGCTTTTTCAGGAGGCTTATAGGGGACTGGATGCTTTCCAGAACAGAAATATAACAGGATTGCCTTCGTGTTAGACTCGCTGCTTGAAATGAAATATATGTTAACACATATTTGAAAATTTCCTGTGAAAAATCTTCCTGCCTGGGCTGACTGTATATTCCGTGTATTACTGCAATTCTTTATCTCTTTGGTCCAAATTACGTGTTGGGAAGAGAGGAGCTCAGCCTCAGCGTGTGGATCTGCCTCTAACCAAACTTGGGAGTGTGTCATCCATATGCTTAATGTCTCTCACGAAGGTACTTACGTGCCTAAGAAACACATCCCTCGCTGAGCGCCTTCCCTCGCGCACCGAGAACTCCCACGAAAGGAAAAACAATAGGAATTGGTGCATAAACAGCAAAACTGCACAACTGTGGGGTAAATATAAAGCTCATAAATATCCAGCTGTCTGCACAAAGCAGATTCGCAGGCAGGGCACAGGAAAGCAGCCGCTATCTTTGACAGACATCAGCATGTGCTCGCACAGACGTTGAATCACATCCCAGCGCCGCATTCTGCCAGGCACAGAATAACTGGGAACGACGGAGGGGCTGAGCTGCCCACCCCACACCGGGGCTGGTTCTTCAGCTTTTAAAGATATTTGGGAATTCGGGTGGCATTCCGCGCCACGGTCACGTTTCAAAGGGTGCAATTCACACCTCAATTATCCCATAAATATCTTTCTCCCTGTTTTCCTCGGGCGAGGAGCGGAGCAGGGGAGGGGGGGCTCGGGCTGCTGAGCGATGCTGCGGCCACACGGCCCGTGTTAGATTGATTTCACACTTCTGGGAAGGGATGTCAGCAGGGAAACACCAGGGTTGGGAAACCTGCAGCAGCGGAGAAAATGTGAATGAACAAACGCGCAGTGAAAGAGCAGATGTGGGCACTCCTTTTCCTGAAAATCATGAGACATAACCAGACATTACTGCCAGGACTGGGAAAGAAGCATCAGAATTTATCACTGAATTAATAACCATTTACCAGTCGCTCCCTGTGGAGGAAATGGATGGCATGATTAACGTTATTTATTAGGCTTTGAGCTCAGCACAGCGCAGAGTGGGGAGGATGACTTGGCTCGCAGTCCACAAAGCCGGGCTGTGATTTAGGCAGAGCTTTAAAATTTTACAGCGCCTTTCCGAGGGTGTTGACAAATTGAAAAGGGTTCAGCATCCTGCTGTAACAAATAAAAAGATCAGGCTGTTAAAACCGGGCAAATTCAGATTAATACTGAGACATTTTTAACTGGGGTTGGTGGGAACGGGGGCATTTTATTACCAGCTGTAAACGGAGTTCAGTGTCACTGCCCGTAACTCCAGGTCTGTGCTGTCCTGTAAAGTGGGCTCCTGTGCTCTGGGCAGCAGCAGGGGCTGCTCAACAGCTTAAACAGGTCCTTGTAAATACGGGAACCTGAGTGCAGGCAAAGTGCTCAGCAAATGGGTTCTCAGCAGGGCTGTCTCGTTCCCGTGTCCGTACAAGAGACTCACTCTGCAAGACAGGTGTGAAATTAAACTACTTGGAAATACCATCTCCAAAACTCTGTCTGTGTCAAAGGCCTTGTTGGCCAGGTCAGAGCCCAAGGCCTGACCCTCCCCACCCCTCTAACACCTCCTTTAATTGCTGCAGCAGGTCCTGGCTCCCAAACTTAACACAAGTGGAAACCTCACACTAAAATCCAGGATTTTCTAACCATCCATCCCGCCACAAACCCACACATGCTGTGTCCATTTTAGGTACAAGAGCAAAGTGGGCTCCAACCCCCTCCCAACCTGTCATTCCAATGCTCACAGGGCACAGCTGCCACCTGAAACTCTGCGTGGCCCAAACATCTCATTGTCTTTCCACCCTTTCTTCCCCCACAAAGTCTCCAAAATGCAGCCCCCCCAAGGCTCAACCACAGTTCAATGGGATTGCACTTCTCCTGCATCCATGAGAGCATCCAGGAGAGGTTGGAGTTGAAATAGAGATTGGTCCATTTGTCTCTGCACTCATCCAGGAGTGATGGATCTGCAGGGAAGGGAGCAGGAAGGTTGTGAGGGTGGGTGACCTGGAAGGGCAAGGACACTGTGTGATAAACCACACATTGCAACCCTCATGTCCAGGCGACCACAGAGCCCCTGGACTGTCCCCATGAGCACAGTGGGGTGACCTCATGGCAGAGATAATGCATTTGGGGTGTAGAGAAACAAAGATTTCCACAGAGCTTTCATCCATTATCAAACCCAGTGTAAGTCCTGTCCATTATGTAAATGTGGTGTGACACAAATGG